ACATTGCACGAAAGACGTTTTATTCGTATTTCTCTGCATAAGGCATATATACTGAAATTGGGATAATTACATGGAAATCCACTTTATAAAGTGGTTATAACAAGTTGGTCGTTACTAGTGTAATTGGTTATTCCAGGGAGTTGTTCGTAATGGAAGCAAGGATTGAAAAAGGACATTCGTCAACAAGGCGTTCACTACAGAGCTTGAGAAACAACTCGTACTCAGTTCTGGATGAAGATCCGGGGTCTAGGACACGTTTGGAAATTGAAGATATATGCACTTCAAATGCAAGTACAAGCGATAGAGGTATCCAGTTTAATAGTAGGCCTAGACCATGTCAGCAAGTTTTGATAACAAATGAAGATAAAAACATTAAACACGGTGTTGAAAATAAAGGAGTGCGTCTACAGAAAAAAAATAAATGGAAGCACAGACTAATGAAGAAGAAACGAGAACATGTATCAACAGAATTCTTAGTGATCGAAGAGGATCAAGATTTCCATAACGATCATCCAAAGAATAAGAAGAACAAGAAGAAGAATAAGAAAAAGATAAATAAGAAGTATGAGAAGGAATGTTCATTGACAAAAGAAGAGAAACGAAAAAAGAAAAAGAAGAGAACCAAGAGAATAAAAAAGGTATAGCCTATCGTCTATTGTTTTTAGATGTTATTGTAATATTTTTATATTTTTTTTAAATAATTATTTTATTAATTATAATTATTGTTATTTTATTTTATATAATTATTGTCGTTATCATTACTAATTATTAATTTAAAATTATTTATTATTAATATTTATTATTATTTATTAGCAGTATCATCCACCATTATTATGATCGTTACAGTATACTACTATCATCATTATTACTACTATCATCAAACCTTTTTCTTTTAGGCTGGACTACGTGCAGCCAAAGCTGTCGGTGACGGTTTCCTGCAACTAGGTGCAGCTTTTAGGTACATGTCACCTATTGCAACAATGGCGGATGGAAACTATACTTTCGCAGATAATAGACGTACCGATAATACCAGCTACTTATAGAGCAACTGATGACGCAGTATTGGGGAGTTTTAAGTCAAGATGACGCGTCATACTCTGGTGAGCTGCCATGAATTTGCGTAGGCCTCCGTGCCGCTTACCGATATCGAATTTAGCCATTACTTACTTTTTATTTACGTTTTATGACGACCTCGACATATTAAACGTCTTCGTCTGAAGTATACTGTATTATTTATATTTGGTATCAAGCTAGTCCTACAAATCTATCACGCAAAATGTGACGATGAATAGAGTAATAAACCCTGTAAATATTTGTTCATCATATTGTGTACCAATGTGATATTGGCCGTACAAAGTACTACATTGTTTAATAAACTTATCAGTTGTTCTTCCAGTATGCAAAGTAAAACATTGATTCAATACTAGAAAGAAAAAGCCAGAAATCAAGCTAATTTGAGGCGAGATTCAAGCATAAAGGGTTCATGCCAGGAATGTTGGGTTATACTTCTTCTCATTATTATTTTGACAGTTCATATCTCTGAGGGGATTAAATGTAAATATATATATCCCTTTCTGGTTTTTAGGTTTGAATATTATGACTCGTGGGCGGTCACTCAAAACTGGATGAACAATGAATGAACTCTATCATAAATTATTTAAACATTAAAGAGATTCAGTTATATTTTACTTGAACAATGAGTCAATTTTTAGTTGGATCCGTTTCCGTGATCGCCAACATATATATGCTTTAAAACCGCCCCTCTTTTAGCCAATGGGATTGTGATCTTCCTAGGATCAAGTAATTGCTAACCACTAACCAAATACTGCATTCAACACCATTTCAAAATCATCAATTCAGCAAAAACTGATTTTTTGCACAAAATGAGTCCACTTTTTGAAAAATGGGTCCAGATTTCTTATTTTCCCATAAAAAAGAAAATGAGTCCAATTGTTCACTGCATGCACTTAATTAATTTTCAAGGAAGCGAAAAATCCGGGTCCCCAATATACTATCGGGAGCTTTATGTCTATCATCCTCTAGTAGGCCTATACTATTACTATACAGACAGCGAAGTTCAAAAACCATAATTATCTGTAAAGATAATTAAATGACATATATGTTTAAGCTTGCGGTACACCACGTAGGTATAGTACCTACGTATTGTACCGCAAGCTTATACATGTATGTTATTACTTCGCCATACAAACCTTCATACGATAATTAAATGATAATAAGTTGATCTGTGGCAGATAAATAGTATCACGCTGATAGTGTGGTATAGGTATGTTACTGATCTAGCCGAATCTCCACGATTCGTAGCGTATAAATCGTTGAACCTGAGCACACGATGCGCCTGTAATTGTTCTTTTTGCTCCGAATGTTTACTTTTTGCTTCAACAATTGGATGAATGCTCAACAAAATGGTTACATAAACCCACAACTGTAATTAAGCCTATACTGCCTCTTATTTATTTGACAATTAAGCCCCCCCCCCCCTTTCCGTATTTTACGTTTGGGAGCAACCCAATTATATATTTATGATATTTAGACCAAAGGGCGAGGAGAAAAATTTATATCCAACCAAAAAATCCCATAAAATCTAATGAAGCATAACTTCGGAGTTGTTTAATATCGAAGGGCAAAAGCCAGGCCATGGGTTCAAGGGATTTCATCAACAGGTGCATGTCTGCCAAGCCTAATGATTTCTACCATTTTTGACATGAATTTTCAATTGGGAGTATTGCCGAAATCCACTACAATTTTGAACCTTTGTCACTTCTGACAATAAACCAAATTTTCAGAGTTAAAATTTCATTCAACTTTATTATCGAATGTGTGAAACATTAAGATACAAGAGCAGTGAGCATAAATAAACCATAATCCTCTCTTCAAATTACGCACACGCATTATAAACTAAACGTACAATACTATAAAGTGGTTGTAAGATACTTAATATGTATATACTATAAT